CCTCCTTGTTTTCTTTTTTGTACTAAGTTAGCATTGAACTCGTTGAATCGCCAACCTACTCTCCTATATACAAAAGCAGCCATGCGCCTTGGTTAGCAGCGTCGCCCACGCTTCTTTTTTTACTTTTTAAAGACCGCCGTCGCCCTAGTGTTTCAATACTCCAATATAGACGACCACCCCTTCCTATGGTAACGTGATTCCTCGCTACCGTTGATCAGCACAGGTCATCCTATTAAAGAGCTGTGACGCGCCTGATTTCTGGAAGCACACAAGCGGAAGTAACCGTAACAGAGAAAAAACTGATGCAGCTGAGCTTCACAGGCTAACTGGCTCATGGACTGATCTGGCTGGCTGGCTGGCTATGACTTTGAAAAAATAATTGAAAACAAAAGGAAAAAGGGAGGGAAAAGCCCTACCCTAGGCTAGATGATTTTCTTAGATGTATTGCTGGCCCTCTCTCTGCCGCTTGCGGGGTGGAAGGCCATGCTGCGGAGAAATTAGTTCGCTCGGCGTAAATGATCCACGGTAGATGTCCCGGTGCTTAAAGAATGGTCGATATAGATCCAGGCAATGGCATTCAAAGACCTCCAGCTCCTTCGCCATTAGGGGTGACTTCCTAAATGGCGGCGTCTGCAGGATCCAGGCTCCACTGCTCGCTTCCAGCAGAACTAGCGAGTTTTTTCTCGCTCCCTTCTCGATATCGCGGAGGAAAGTCTCTATATTCTTGAAACGACCTTCAACCACTTCTCCGTCGTAGAGTTCCCGAGCTAGTGTGTAAACGCTCTTCTCGATCCATTCTTTATCGAGATGAGCAACGTCTTCTCGCACTCGTCGGCTATCGGAAGGGAAAATCTCGTGCTGGTCGAGCTCATTCGCGTTGATGGCACATGCGGGAAGCTGAAAGCCGGCTGTTCGGCCGTAATTTTACTCTTGGTAGCGTTCCCTATTTGAGGTGGCTTTGAGTCGGCTTGATCGGCCTCGCCACTATCCTCCATCTGCTCAACCCAGTGCGTGACGGTACCCAGTCCGCGTACCGGAGCTGCTTCTGAGGCAATAATCAACCCACTTGCTGAGTTAGACCACGCCAGCCAGATAGAAGCGCTTGCCGTCTAGGACGCCTTGGGCTGCTGCACGTTAAGCTGCTGAAAATCTTCAACGAGGGGTAAGATGTCGTAGAAAGCCGTCTAATTGCGGAACTCGTCCGAGAGGAGAAGAATATTTTCAGTGACCTAGCTGACCAAAGTGCCGATCTGCTTAACAAGTCCTTCGAATTTGTCCTTGTCACTTACAACCCATCTTGTCTTCTATAGCACCCCCAACGTTAGTTTTGTGCCCTTAAGAGCGCCTCCCAAATATGTCTTCCACCAGCTGAGCCGGCGAAGGCCTGCCGAGCTGAGGTACAATCTATCGTGCTCAGGCGCCACCAGTTCGTCGTCGTCGCTCGAAACGACTACACCATAACGGTCTCGGAGGTCATTGGTGTTCTTGAACAGAGCTTTCAAGAGGCCAAATGCTGTCTGCAACCTTCTCACTACGTCTTCGGAGCATTGAGTCGAGAGCGGAGCCCCACTGAAGAAGCCGTGTTTCTCTCCCCAGATAATCAGATCTTCCTGATGGCAGTCGAGTTGGAAGAGGAGGATCTGAACGTCCAAGGTCGCTGACCAAGCTGTTTTGAACAACCGGAAATACTCGATGAGGGCGGTACATAGAGGGATCACTCCGATGTTGAGACTGATTGGCCAGCCGTGTCACGATCCCATTGGGGGAGGAATACGGGGCTAAGAGAACGCACCTGCATGCTGACCTCAGGCATTGAGTACGGACCAAGGGGGCTCTGGTTACACGAGGAGGAATCTAGGTAGAGCCACCAAGGACTCTACAGAGCCCTCACAGGCCCTGGGCAGAGCCAGGGTGCTCTATCCAGAGCCACCGGTTCTATATAATGATGAGAGCTGGAGGGCTTTTGTGGTTCTCCAGCTATCAAAGAAAGTAGACAGTTAGTCTTTGCAATTGAATAGTGGTTCAGCAAGCGATCTATTAATGCTCATTGGTACTCCATCTACCCCTGGTTACTGTGTATGGCCACTCACCCCCTTGAACCACAACCCAAACCCAGGACAAGAATCCAGATCGTCACAGTTTTACGCGACTTTTTAGAGGACGGATTTTAGGCCTAACTCTTTAATAGCTTAAAAGAAAGCTAGGTAAGCGGGACCTATATCTATCTGCCTCGCCAATAGCAACAATATTCAAAACGGAGACTTAGAAACGGTCCCAGAAAGCAATTATCAAATGGAATGGACTGTTGGAAATAGAACTATCTGGACCACACCCGCTCCAATGCTCACACCTCTCTTTCTGGCAGTCCATTCCATCTAACAGTATCTCGCTTTGCGCCGAGACCTGCCAATATTCAGCTTTGCGTTATACGGGAGGGAAAAACAAAGTAGTAGAAGAAGAAAGAAAACAGCAAAAAGCTCCCCACCAAGCTACCCACGTCGGTCGTTGAGGGTGGTTAGTAGTTGCGAGAAACCCGGGATTTTTTGCTTCGATATCAGTCCGACGTCGATTCGGTTCGAACGCTCGGGCTTCAAGGGAGGCATCACGGTCGTCTTCGTTTCTGTCGGGGAACCCTCCGCCTATACCATTAGGCCATCAGATAATCCTCGGAGGAGGGTTCGTTGAAAAGAGCTGTGGAATGGTTGCCGCCTATAGAGTGCCTGCGAGAGGTTCTTGCCTCGGGTTCTTGCTTGGGAGTTTGGATGGATTTTCTTGGTGTGGGAGATCAGATGATGCACGGCATCAAGACGCCTAGGGAAGGCACCTCCTTGCCTAGCTTCAACTACCGCCCGCGATGTTCTTTTCCCATCAAACTTCCTCGACTTAGCGGGATCTGGCAGATTCGACGACATAGCCTCGATTCAGATCTGTTTCGCTCAGATTGGAAACCAACCCCCCCCCCCCAACCAACTCTAGAACCTAGTCCCAACCTCTTTCTCGTGACTTATGGTAATGTTGGTCAACAAGGAGCTACGTGACCATCGTAAGAGACCTTCTTCCACCTTAGCCGAAGCCTGACACTTGGCATCGGCGGGTTTCTCCAAAACCAACCCCGCGTTTTTGTCCCCATGTGCCCCTGTCTTGCATCAATACAGGACGTGCATTCTGCATTTCTGCAGGGACTTAGTCATTCTGTTCTATCCGTCGACTCTGTCCCGCTCCAACAGCAGTCGACGATGCGAATACCCATGCGGGCCAGACGAGCCGGATGGCTTGGCGACGCAACGACATCGTACACGAACGAGTCACGACGCGGTCTCCTCGACCGTGCTTACTGATGCGCTTTTATGCTACGACCGAACCGAACCATTTCTCGTCGACGCGAGCGACCGGTGAGACCCGGCTGCCCGAGTACGCGTCTGCCTGGTAGATTCACTTGTCAGGACAAGTATAAAATGTTCGGGTGTAGACGATTACGATCATGTAGAGACCTCAGCCTCTAGCTGTGCTCTGCCCGCCATGAGCGCCTTCAAAGTCATCGTCGTCGGCGGCGGCCCGGTCGGGCTTACGGCTGCGCACTCGCTCTCGCGCGCCAACCTCGACTTTGTCGTGCTCGAGAGCCGCAGCAAGATTGTGCTGGATGCGGGCTCCAACCTCGTGCTGCTCCCCATCGGCCTGCGCGTGCTGGGCCAGCTCGGCCTGCTCCCCGTCATCGAGCGCGTCAGCTCGCCCATGAGTCGCTTCAAGCGCATCGACCACGAGGGTCGCAACATCGGCGACACGCTGTGGTTTACCTATTTCAAGGAGAAGTAGCTGCTACTATCTTGCCCCCCCCCCCCCCCCGACAGTAATGCTGATTGGCCACACACAGCCACGGCGCCTATCCCCGAGTCATCAGCCGCCACGACCTCATGCAGACGCTGTACGACGGGCTACCCGCCGAGGCACAGGCCAAGCTGCTGCCCAACAAGAAGGTTGTAGACGTGGTAACGGGGCCCAGCGGCGTTAAGGTAACGTGCGCCGACGGGACGACGTACGAGGGCGCTGTCGTGGTTGGGGCCGACGGCGCCCACAGCAAGGTACGCGACCTAATGCGCACGGCGGCGCTCCAGTCAGCCACGCCCGTCGAGGTCAACGACGCCAAGCCCTTCTTGACATCGTATCGGGCGATGTGGGTTCGTTTCCCGACCGTGGCGCCCGTCCAGCCCGGCGACGCCAGCGAGACCCACGGCTACGACTGCACCCTGCAACTGTTCGCCGGCGAGGACACGTCCGTCATTGGCATCTACGAGCGCCTGGACGAGCCGACGCGCGACGGCGTGCGCTACACGCAAGCCGACGAGGCCCAGTTCATTGAGCGCTGGGGACACCTGCCCATCGTCGGCAGCGGCAGCGGCAAAGGCGGCCCGAAGTTCACCATCGGCGACGCCTACGCCAACCGCACGCAGGCCGGCATGGTCAATCTCGAGGAGGGCATCCTCAATCGGTGGAGCTGGGACCGCATCGTGCTGGCGGGCGACGCGGCGCACAAGTTCACGCCCAGCACGGGGGCGGGCTGCAACAACGGCATCGTCGACGTGGTGGCGCTCGCCAACGAGATGTACCACGCCTTCCGCGAGGTGCGGGGCGCGTCGGGCGACGCCACAGCCTTCCCGGACCGCGACCGGCTCCTCGCCGCCTTCGACGACTACCAGCAGGTCCGCTTCGACACCGTCAAGGACGGGCTCGCCGCCGCCAGCCAGGCCACGGGCTCTGCCACCTGGTCCGACATGACCCACCGCTTCGTTGACCGCCACATTCTCTCCAAGCCCTCACTCCAAAAGTTCTTTGCCACCTGGAACGCCCGCGCCCTCGCCCGCACTCCCGTCTTTGAGTACGTCGAGGGCGAGGAGCACATGGTCGGCAAGTTCCCCTGGGCCCAGCCCATCCGCGAGGCCACTGCCCGGGCCGAGCCGGCCCAGGCGACTTAGCCTAACCTAGGGTCATAGAGAGGCAAGAGGGGGTTTTGCCTGGGATTGAACCCAGGACCTCTCGCATGCGTTGCTGCTGTATGATGGACCTTAAGTGAGAATTATACCACTAGACCACAAAACCTAGGAGAAGACAAGCTTCCTAATTGGTTGGGAGGAGGTGGGCGTAAAGTTGTTCATGATGAGTGAGCGTATGTTCAATAGACGCGCAGGAAACTGAGCTGGGAGTTTTATGAGTTAGGGTAACTATAGGTATCGTCCTTTGAGATATCCTCAATGTCGCACAATGCGAAGCTTTCAACTGCTTAGCAGGGAGGGTTAAGGGTCGGTGTGTGATGTGTTGGATTGTCGCCTCTCCAAAGGTGAAATTTGCATTGCCCGCCACCTTCCTCGTTCTCGCCCCGTAGCGGTGGCTGCTGTATTAAACGATTATATACACTTATATAGGGGTATTAAAGTAAAAGTTAAAATGAATACATCTTAGTAAAGGGGTTCCACTTAGTGCTAATAATGTATTGCGTTTAACTTTATCACCCCAATATAAGTGTATGGTCGCTATGGCGAAGCTTAGCACCGGGCGCTAGCATAGTCGGCACTAACTCTGCGCTATAATTCGACTAACTTTTATCTGCTCTTTTCAGCTTCTGCTACTACTACTACTACTCCGCTATAATCTCATGTGACGATCTGGATCCTCGTCTTGGGTTTGGGGTGAGGTTCAAGGGGGTGAGTCGTCACACACAGTAACAAGGGGCGGATAGAGTATCAATAAGAGTGAATAGATCGCTTGCTAAGCCACTGCTCAATTGCAAAGACTGACTGTCGACGTTGTTTGATAGCTGGAGAACCACAAAAGACCTCCAGCTCTCATCATTATATAGAACCGGTGGCTCTACCTAGATTCCTCCTCGTGTAACCAGAGCCCCCTTGGTCCGTACTCAATGCCTGAGGTCAGCGTGCAGGTGCGTTCTCTTAGCCTCGCATTCCTCCCCTAATGGGGATCGTGAAAAGAAGGCACCTACCGGATCGTAATGGTGGACGGGTTGTCACGATCCCTATTGTAGGAAGGAAGTGAGTCGGGCACGGCATATGCAGTGGTTCCGGATGTGCTGGGCACGGACCACTCTGGCCCTGGTTACACAAGGATAGACAGTTAGTCTTTGCAACTGAACAGTGGTTCGGCAAGCGATCTATTAACTCATTGATACTCTATCCACCCTTTGTTACTGTGTGTGGCTACTCACCCCTTGAACCTCACCCCCAAATCCCCGACGAGGATCCAGATCGTCACATTTTTTTCGCGGCATTGGGAATACTTGCGTATAATAAGTCCGGATAAGTCGACGGAGTCGGTGAGACGGATGCGGCGTTGGTGATTAGATCGTTGCTTGATGTCACGATTTTGAAATGCAAGCTTAGTGGAGCCTGACAAAGGAGACAAAGGTCGCACACCAATCGGGTAGAAGAACCAATCAGAGCAGTGCTCTGTAAGCTCTCCAACAGAGCACACAGAGCTGCCCGGACTAGCCAATAAGAGCTCTGCTCTGTGAGCTCTCCAGCAGAGCACACAGAGCAGGACACAACTTATATAAACAGATAGGCCGAGTCCCCCTTATGGAACCCGGCAAGTAAGCAATACACATTCATCTGCTTCATTACTTGTGAAGGCATTCCACACGTGTGTATCAAGACAACCACCCGACCTTGTTCAAGGAGCTTACCTTCCCTACTTGACTCAACCACCCAACCCACGGCGTACCGCCTTGCAGTTCAGACACTATGTGTGTGGATTGTAATATGAGGCTCAATGGGGTGAGTGGTCACACACAGTAACCAAGAGTGGACAGAGTATCAAAGAGTAAATAGATCGCTTGCTGAACCACGGTTCAATTGCAAAGACTTAACTGTCTACTGTGGGTTGATAGCTGAAGAACCACAAAGGCTCTTCAGCTCTCTTGTTTATATACATCATGGTGGCCCCCAAGGGGCCATCCTCGAGTAGGGGGGGCCACGTGGTCCGTGCGCCAGCTCATGCGGAGTCCCCCGCATGTGCTCCTGCTTAGCCCCACAGCTTCCTCCAATGAGTCCCCGCCAGTCGGCATTAAATTTTAGAAGATAACGTTCAGGTTGAATTTTTAGGTACTGCTTCATAGAAATTACTAGAAACTATACTTATTTTTTTTAAAAAAAAAATGGGGCGCTAAGGCACTAAGTGGGCCTCAAGTCAAAAGTTGGGATTTATTACCCTAGAGGTGTATTACGTGTTATATTATTTTGCGCCAACCTCCCTTGTACTACGATTTAGGCGGTGCTGCCCTTGCTATTCCTATGCGATGATTCTTTTAATTGCAATTCCCCCTTCTAGCGGTTGCGCGCGGCGGGCTCGGCGCGTACCTCGGCAAAGGTTTCCAACTTAGCGTTAGAGGACAGCTGATAGCCGCATGATGACGTAGGAGCCTAAGCTTGCCTAATGGGCGGCACAAAATCTAAAATCGAACCCACAGTCATTTCTTCCCCTCCTCTATCTAACAGATTGTTTTTCCATCTACTATAAGCAAAAAGATCTACGAGGCAGTTACAAGCGCCATGAAAGAGAGCAATACGCTTGGAGGGATAGCGCTAGCTATTGATCTGCTCGTGCTAATCGTTAAGCTCACCGTGGGCGTGACTTTCCACTCGACCGCATTCGTTGCTGATGCGCTACGGAGCGTGCGCCTGCCCCCCGGCCCTCTTTATATAGGCCGCCAAGTCACGGATAATTAGCTAATGTGAATGATGCTTAGATATATGTTATAGCGAGCCGAGTTATGGTATTATGGTCCGCTAGGATGGTACGGCGGCCGGCAAGTCATAAGTATAGTTTTGGTGTATGCTAATTCTCTACACTATCTCACAGCATTTTGGACGATCGACTAACTCGACTTTATGCGTACAGTGGCTGAGAGTAGAGATTGTCACGGTAACGCTAAGTGCGGCCCTCCTCGTCGGGCTCTCGATCGCAATCGTCATCGACGCTATTTCTCAATTCATCAACCTGGAACCAATGATGCATCCCTTAGCTATTTTCGCTACGGGTGCTTCGTGTCTTACTTTAGGCTTAGCCTCGCGAGTGCTCACCGCAAGCATTGTTCAAGTGCGCTCTTCCACTAGGGCAGCGATAGCTAATAAGGGGTCTGCGTCGGACAACACTCGCCCGTCTGGTAGCCGTCGAAAACGAGATGGGCTACCACGGGATGAGAGTGGCGGGATTAGAAATCAAGAGCCTCCTTCTCCAGTCATTCTAGCGCCGAAATGCAATAACGAGAATATGGCCGAAAGCAAGGTTACTATCGGAAGGCCTGATGCCCTTCGCGGGAAGTGTTCTTTAACGCAGCTAAAAGGAAAACTGTTTCGTTTAGCAGGCTATTCCGGATACTGGCGCCTCTCAATCGGCGCGGCGTTAACCACGATGTGGAGAAAGTTTACATCGGCAGATCTAAAGGCTGCCATGTCGCTTCGGAGCCGGACCGTGTCTCTCTGGGACAGCTCCAACGTCCTTGGAGACACGTCTATTACGCTGGCGGCGCTGCTCGTGTGGAAAGTACCTCTGTCGGGCGTGCAATACCTTGACCCAGCACTGGCCATGTGTATTGCATTTCTGAGCATGTACTTCGCCTGCCGGCTGGTTGTTGCTGCATTCCCGGCCCTCCTCCTAGCTACGCCTTTGGGGGTTGATGCTGAGGCTATTAGGAAGGAGATCGGAAGCCTGCCTGGCGTCATATCCGCTCATCATGTCCACATTTTCCCGATCGATGAGAGCAGATATACGGCTTCGATGCACGTCCAACTAGATTTCCCTTGGGACATAGCAACTCCCGAACGACTTATGCTCCTCAGAAATCAGATCAGACGTGTCCTACACGCCTACAGTGTCCACTCGGCGACGATAGAGCATCACTTCTGTCTCGACAAGGCTCACTTGCATGTTTCAAATTGTACGGATGGAAGAAGAGAGTTGGGTTCTGCCGAGGAAGTTTGAGACATACCGGGCGCTATTACGCTTCTACACTCTAGATCCCTTGACGCAATCTTCCCCACACCCTCAACATGGCCCGTAGCACGATGCACGCCCCGTCATCAACACTATATATTTAACTAGCTATAATTCGCTTAATTCTTTACTTTTTTTAAATTGGGCAATTATGCTGCAATTATAAGCTCCGACCGCGAGTATTATATCTTTTAAACTATTTTAGCAATTAAAAATAGCTATTCTATTATTAAGTCTTGTTTAATTAAACTATCCAGAGGTTGACTTTAAGCAATAAACTCGCCGGTACCTTCTCTATCTAAAATACTAACGAGAGATATTCCCCTCTAGAGATTATAATAGTGTATCCTGTCCGCCTAGGCTGTGCCATCCCGGCTGTCCGAGGGTGTGGCGGTGGATTGCTTTGCGTTAGATCCGGGGTGGCGTCTCAACTCAGACCTTTGGTATTTACAGCACAGCGAGGTGAAGAAAATCCACAGAGAAGGAAATGAGCAAAGGTCTGTGACATTGAAACTGTTTATGCTCCATCTAATTCGATTAGCTAGTCATCTCTCGAGTTGGTGGCTTCAGTCGGTGCTAGTAGTAGCGGTATTGTTGTTGGCTTGCTCTTCTAATTTCCTGCACACATACTTTGGGACACATTGACAGTGAACACTTTTTCCATGTCCCTGATTCTATCGCAACTAACTTTGATCACTGCCATCGCTGTCTTCCCCTAAATCCGAGTTATTATCGCCCAGACGGTACTTGACGTAGTGCCGCTCTCGTTCCATAGCTTCAGAGAGAAGACCCAAGGTATGCCGCCTGGTCACCGTATGAGCTTGCAAGAGTTGGATAAGGCTATTAGTTGGAAGGTTGCCGGTATGCGGTAGACAAGCATGGTGAATTTGAAATCTTTCTCAACGGCCACTCACAGGCTGTTAAGGGACAGGGCGTGGCATTTGTTAACAATAGCGAGAACGGGTAGTATGGGATACGAGTCAACAAGTTGCTCTGTCCCTGTGTCCTGGTTCCCAAATAAACTTGAACCCATTATACAATCTTGACATTTATTGTGCTAGCGCTAATGCTGTGTCTCATGCACCATATTTTCC